TTTTTGCTCATTTCTCGGAGGCAAAATGAGCAAGAACGCTCATTTGTACATCATTCTAGAGAGAAATAAATGGCCTTTTTGGAAAGTGAACCATCGATAAGGAAATGTTGACAGTTTTCTCAAAAAATGCTTGAATTCAAGAAGTTTTAGATTTGCGTGGTTTTTTTTGAGCTGCAAAATCCACTTGAACATGACGCAGCTTTTTTCGAAGTTTCTCAAGAACCATTCGAACCAGAGAATTCGTTTTGGCATCGTTGGATAAAAAATTGAATGGGGGGGGGTCATGACCACCCCTGGATCCGCCCTTGGGCGTGGCATCCAGTCACTCTAGCCAATCACTGTCACTCACCAATAGCAGACTGGGCGAAGCTCCTCCCTGATAGGCCTGCCCAGTGACCTCCTCAAACACGCTCTTCGCCACCATGGTGGCCACGTCAGCAATATGCCGCTGCAGAGTCCCCGCCCCTATTTCACTGCCGTTGTAGTAGCGATAGCCGATGTTGGACGAATTGTCAAACAAAGAGTTATAGAAGCGATTCTGATAGGCCGTCTGGTGATTGGCCAGCACCAGGCCCCGGATCGAGGTGTTGCCCCTGATGAACGTGTGCAGAGAGGATGGGGGAAGGCTGTCGGGCGTGGGCTTCAAAGGCACCACAGTCGAGGGATTGTTTCTCGTGAGATTGGCCGCAAACTTGTCCAGCTAAAAGTTCAAAGGAAGTTGCCTGCCAGCCCCTGTGTGGCAATCGCGGACTCACCCAAGCGTCTGCCGACAAGTAATGAGCGTAGGTGGCCTCTCCCACTCCCAGCTGCGACAGCTCGATGAACAACGTAACATTCTCCGGGTAAATGGTCGGCAGGATGGGGTTGTTTGGGGGCAAATCAGTGGGGAAGTGTCCGCGCTCCATGTCATAGAGAAGGCGCTGCGAGCCGATATAGTCGTACGTCTCGCCGTTGAACAATATGAACAGCACGTTACTTTTCACTGCAAAGTTCTACATGGGGGCAAGCAGAACCTCAGGAGATCGCCCAGCGCTTACCGCTTGCTGCTGCAGTGGGCAGCATCTCCTTCAGCAGCTTGGCGACGGTAAGCAGCGCCACTGCGCCGGTTATAGGGCTTTCGGCGCCGGCGGTTTCTTCAAAAAGCGACGTCGTGTCCAGCCGAGCGGCGACTACAATGTACTTTGCGTCCCTGATCGGTTGACTGTCGTTTTCCTCGCCAGTTACCAGTGGGAAAAGGGCGCCCCACACGTTGCTGTCGCCCAGAGGATCGCAAAACTTCACCGGGTTCAGATTGGTGACAACGTTGGATCTCCTGCAAAACGAACGCGGCTTGACCGGGGCCATTTCAAAAGGATCAGGGCCTACCGTATGCAGGTCTGCGTGTTGGTGGTGCCATACATGAACGCGTTCAACTCCAGCGAGCACAACGATCGCGCTGCTTGGGTGGCAAAGGAGTGATTGTTGAACGCCTGGAAGCAATGCCGAATCGCCGTGACTTCGCTGTCGTTGTGCATGTAGAACATCGGAAATGGAACGTCTGCGTACAACAACCCCGTGCCTGCAAAGCCATCAAACGCTAGTTTCCAATAGGAGGCGATTTTCGCGACTCACTCACCCCAAGGGTTCCAGCCGCCGCTGTCAGGGCAGGTCTTCGGCGCTTGCTGCACGTTGAAGATATCGTTCGGGCATTGATCCTCGTGCGACATTTGCAGCAGATTCTCGCTGTTGGCGTGCAGAAGCAACCCAGAAATCTTCACCTTGCTAGAGCTGAGCTTGCTCACAGTCTCCGCGCTAAGCAGAGATATGGGCAGAACTGGAATGTACGGGCCTGCAGAGCCATTCTTCAGAATGAAGTCCAGATCTGCGGCGCTGTCACAGTAATGGACTACGCCCACCGAGCCGCCTCTTGCAGCTGCAAGCATTAGCTTGAGAAAATTACGGGCTGTTAAACTCCGAGCCACTTACACGAGCAGCCGATTTGATGGGTGGCGTTCATTCGCCGATAGCAGGCCACTGAGCCGCTGATTTTCATGTACATGGTGTCTTTGATTCGGTCCGCATCGCCTAGGGAAAATGGGGCCAATTAGATTGGAAAGGTTTTCGCCCAACTACGGGGGTCTACTCACTGGGGCCGACAACGAGCAACAACTGCACCAAATAGATCGCAAAATGGGACTTGGACATGATTTTTCACATTTGTTGTTGTTTTTCTGGGTATATTTTTCTAGTTTGGAAACTCAAAATATTAGTCATAACCTCACCCTCACAAGTGTCACGATTTGAACGTCATAGTTTTTTAGGGCGGCGTTGCCTAAAAGCTCAAAGGCGAGCTTGGACGAAACTTTTAAAAGTGAGAGATTTCTTTGCAACAAACGTGATTGGTTTGCGTAAAAAAAACTGAAAAATCATTTTTGGTGATTTTTAAAAACGTGTTGGCGGGGTTTTCTAAACGGGAATTTTTTGAAACTGGGCCAACAATGTCACTGAAATTTACAATGCAGTTCTTAATTCGCGATATTTCTTGAAGAAATTTCCTTTTTGTGTGTCATGGTAATGTTTGCGGAAGCCCCGCGACAGATGACACTATCATATAAGCCAACCTTACTCGTCTAATTTCGTAATAACGTACAAATAATAACTTTCATATCATTTAATATCATTAGTTATGTCTATTTCCATTGTTAGCAGTATTTGTCAAAAAGGCTTTTCAACACAGGGAAATCTCAATAAACATTATCGTACAAATCATGGTACCCCAGTGAATGAACAAAAATTGTGTTTGATTTTCGTTATAATTGTTATTTATACAGGATGTTCCGTAAATATGTTAAAATATTTTAGCAGCGTGTTCTCCTAGTCATTTTAGAGGGGGTCTTCCTGAGAATTTTTTTAATTTAATGTCTCATTTTTGAGATATTTGATCTCCAAAATGGGGAAAAATATTAGTTTTTGTTGTTTTTCTTTAAAACGGTTAAACATTGCGAACTTAAATTTTGGTACACATAAGATAATTGAAGGTCATTCTATGGTAGTGTTTTGTGGTTCAGTTTACTTTTATACAAGGTAGAAATGTGGAACTCCTACTTTTGTCTTGTTCAGAACTTTTTTGTGTGCACTTAAACTTTTGTCAACATAATTTTTTTAATTACTACAAGTTATTTATCAATTTTTTATCTCTTATTGTTTCTTCTTAAGGGCACTATAGTTTGCCCGTAAAAAAATTAAATCGTTTCGGCTTAATCAAAACTTTCCAGGCCGTTGGATTGCTAGAGGTCAAGAAGCTCCTATAAACTCCCCTTCTAGATCTCCCGATTTAAACGCGCTTGATTTTTACTTCGGGGACCATTTAAAAATTACGGTATATTCACCAGAAGTGAATACAATCGAAGAACTTTAGGAAATAATTTTTAATATTTCTATCGAAATAAGAACTTTAGTGCAAACTACAGTCTGAAAATTTTAATTTCATTAAAAAACTGCTGCTAAGTTAACATTAGAATGGTTATTTAAATTTAATTTTGTTTGTTTATATCGTTACGCATATTGTTACCATGTTTTTATTTAAGTAAAATTTATTCAAACTATCATGTATATTATTTTAATTAATTTTTTTTAAATTCTTTCAACATTAGAAATCTTAAACTGATTTTTGGTAGACATTTCAAATCGGAAATAATTTATTTTATCGATATCTTAAATAACTCGGTAAAAATATAATAGTATCTTTCTCATTTTGTCTCTCTCTCTTTTAAACATTGAGTCAGCTTGGTGTATATGCGCTGCTGACGGCCGACTCGCAAATGTCAGAAACTGTCATTTCCTGACAAGCTCACCAAAGCTCACTTCACTTCATTTTGTTTCAGATTCAGTGCAGACTCGTTTCGTGTCGTACGACTTAAAAGTAAGTGTTTTTCCATTAGAATAGAAAATATTTCCATAATCAACATCCGCAAACATTGTTCCCCATATTGAGACCTTCGTTGAAGCAAAATTGACAAAGATTTCCGAGATTTTTCACGATTTCACCGACACTTAGGTTAAAGTGCGTGTTTGGGTTCTAACGGGGCCCAATGCTTTTTACAGATGCGTTACGTGGCTGCATACTTGTTGGCGACTTTGGGGGGCAAAGCCTCACCCAATGCGGCTGACATCGAGAAAGTGCTCGGTTCAGTGGGAATCGAGGCTGACAAAGAAAAGCTGAAGCTGGTCATCAGTCAGCTCAACGGAAAGGCGATTGATGATCTCATCGTGCAAGGTAGGCCCTGAGCTGCGCGCCTCGAACATGCTTATATCAGTGTTGATAAGTGTGATGATTAATCAATCACCATCTTTCGACTGAGCGCATTGATGCACATTTTTGAGTCTGATCCAAGCGTGTGACGAGCTTCAGCCAAAGGGAAGTTGAGCAGGGATTAATGGGGCTGTTTTAGGTCGCGAGAAGCTCAGCTCGCTGCCAGCCGGTGGCGCCGCTCCAGCGGCATCAGCCGCTGTCGCTGCCCCAGCTGCAGAGGAAAAGAAAGGTCAGTAGTGCTGAAAAAGCGCCAATTAACATGATAAAATCACAGCTTTGCCCAAATTCTGATTTGGTATCCTTTGCCTACAATGATGATTAAATTGATCACCATCTTTCGACTGAAAGTTTCTGATGCACATCTTTTAGCTGAATGTCGCTAGTATTTTTTTTTGCGTAAGGCTAGTTTGAGACGGGTTTTGAACATTTTTTCGCTTGCAGTTGAAGCCAAGAAGGAAGAGAAGAAAGAGGAGTCTGAATCAGAGGACGACGACATGGGCTTCGCCCTCTTTGACTAAGCTTAAACCCCTTTTTTTATTGGAGTTTTAAATAAAAGAGTAAACTGAAGCCTGTGTTGTTAATACTCCCTAAACCCCCGCGTCGATGACGAATGAAGCAAGCTGGGCTTTAAACAGTTTATTCACTAAATGTTGAAAAAAACTATACTTGCAGTAAACTTACGCTACAAATGAAACACCAACTCGAAGTGTGAATAACGACAGAGGACGTCATAAAAACAGTTTAAAATAAGTTACAACAGCGTTTATATATATATATATAAATGTATAGAATTAGAACAGTGGCTACTTTAGTAATAATAATAATAGAAAAGAAACTTGGGAATGATAACGCAATTTGCTTAGGCTAGATAATCTTGACAGCAAAACCGGTTGCTATATACATTTCGTAGGGACCTCCCCCCAAGGGGCGGAAATTCCTAGTAGCGAGTAATTCCCTATGGTTCACGCCCCAATTTTGCCGTGTAGCACATAAACATGTACAACGTCTGAAAGCGGCATGTTCTGAATCTAGGAACAAAGGCGGGCGCTGCTGTTGCGCCCCCTACTAGCAACTGGCGTAATTACCATCTAACAGTACGCGCGCGATCTGGTACTTCCAGAAGGGCGGAATATAATTTAATACTCGATTTTATACAGAGTAGTACCCCAAACACCATCTGTAAGAGGCGGTGCGCTACTAGTCGCTAAAAGAATTTCCTATGCTGCTGTGGAGCCCCGAACAGGGGGGCCGCGCCCTACATGGCCCCCGGGTAGCCCCCCTGATAGGGCATCTGGGGAGCGTAGCCTGGCTGCGGGTAGGCCTGCGGCGCCACAAAGTTCTGCGGAGGGATTCCTAAAAACAACAGCCATACAGAGTGTCTCTGTTAGGGCGCCTAACCTACCCATCCCCGGGCCGGCGGTTAACATGAGCTGCGGCTCTGGAATCATCATGGGCTGTTTGGCGTCCTGCTCGGCGGCCTCTGTTTGACGCTCTGCGTCCGACTTCTCCAGCCGGTCCACCTTGGTGGTCAGCTCGCGAGTCACCTGGATCAGATAGGGCATGGCGAAGTCCATGATCTGATGCCGCCAGGCCAGTTCCATTATAACATCGGGGCGCAAAAGGTCGTAGCACTGCAACAGAATGACCAGACTCAGACGTTGGCCGCTCAAACCATTTAGGGCCTCACCTGATAGAGACAGGCCGCAAAACAGTCGTAGGCCTTGCGCTCTAGGAACCAAGCGAGCAGCTCTTCGGCCAGCTCCTGATTGCGGCTCTCGGCCGTATACTCCATCGCGTCCCGGAACAGTCTGTCCTTCTTGCATAGCTCCACGCTCTGCTTCCATCTGTAAATCGGCAATCTACACATTAGTGTCCTGGACGACCACCGGGACAATCGCCAATCACCTGTTGTTGCCTTTGTACAGATAAGCGGCGATTCGCCTGAACTCGGTCAGTTCGTGCTTCTCCAAACGCTGCGCCAGCCCGATGTTATCGAAGTTATCAAACGCGTCGATGGATGTTCGCAAGCCCTAAAACACACCGATGAATCAGTTGATTGAATTAAATTATTAAATAAAAAATTAAAAAACCGTTGATTCACTCACCTGGAAGTCTTCCTCCTCAATCAGCAGCGAGTTGAGGGCGTCGTTGATCGCTTTGTTGTTGAGGTTCTGTACGGAACGCAAGTAGGACTTGACCAGTTGAAGATGGTTGGTTTTCGTGAAGAATGACACGGCCCTGCAAATGAGCGAGTCAGTAGGGGGCAGTGTTGGGCAAAAATTGATTTTTATTTATTTTATTTAAAAAATCACTGGTTTATTTAAATTAATCAAAAAAATCATGATTAAATCAATTGATAAATCCGCTTAATTAGCGGTTTTAAAGTCATTGCAATTGTTGCCGAGAAAATTCAAGCTAAGTTGAACCGATTCAATACTTGTCCGAACGCATTTTCGACGGAAAATTCCTGTCGCAACAGCCCGCGACTCGTTTTCGCACGTTGCCCGGCGTAATCTATAAATGCCGTCGCCTTTCTTCGGTCGTATTCATTTCGTCACAAAATTTCAAGAGAGGCTAATGTTGAAAAATGTGTAAATTTTTGTCTTTGTGTAATAATAATAAGTCATAGATAAGTTTTATATCGTTGAGGCGGATTCATTTTTTTACAAACTTCTTTTTGTGTATTTCGACTCAAAAATGTTTGTCTTAAAAAAAAAACAGAATTTCCTCACGTCTTTTATTACAGATTGATAAATAGTGCTCCTATTTCGCAATAAGAACGAATTATTTATCGAAAAGTAATCAAGAACTATCACCTAG